ACGTATCGAGAATTACATAATTCTCTTACATCCTTTCTGCATTGTAGTGTAGTTTGGGGTATGCTAGCTTAAAACTGTCGCATGTTATGCTTTACAGCTTTCTTTGCATGATCATAAGTTATGTTCGGCTTTGTGCATTGTCTTGCATTTTGCCCCTGCCTTCGGGCGCATATCTTGTTTGTCTTGCATGTTTTTCTAAGTCTTCGGCCTTGTCAAAAAATGGGTCGTCTCTGGGCTTTGACCTTCACTCCCGTCATTGTTATGACTTTCAAGTTCTGTCAAAGAGGGGCAACTGTAGACACCCCATTTTTGACCGTCCTCAAGACTTGGACGTCACCACTCGAACATTCGGTGATCATCCATGTTCGTGTTCATCTTGAGTTCCCGGAGGTCTCGGCTACGCGCCTTGCCTCAGGACCTCTTGACTTGACTGTTTTGTGTCTGGTTTTGCACCAAACACTTGTGTTTTGCCTTGAAGGGGCAGGGAATGCCTTGTGAGGCATCCCCACACATCACCGGCCATGGCTCGAGGCCACCGGCCGGTGATTTTATACCATCGGCAATATATATTGCCGGTCGGCATTCTTTGTTGCCGATCGGCCATTTATTTTGTCAAAGTGGCAATTTTAGATGGCCGATCACTGTTCATCTACTTTTAGTAGATATTTTGTGCCAGCTGTGATAACTGGCACCCACTCTGTTCCCCTCCAGGCACGTGTATGGAGGGATTTTCCTCTTGGATGGCTTGTTTTAGAAGCCTTACAAGAGGGAGTTGCCTATAAGAAGAGGTCTCCTCTCTTGGCATTAAGGTTAGAAAAAATTGTTAGAGGAGCTCTGGTTCTAGGTTTAGGGTTTTATATCTCTCCTATATCTATATCTCTCATTCTCTTGTATTGTGTGTGTTTAAGCCTTAGTTTTGTACACAAACACACACTACCACACCTTTCCTTGGAGCTGATGCCCTTGAGGGTTGTTTTTAGAGTTTGAAGTTGATTTCAACCTCAAGAAGCTGCTGGAGCTCCATTGTTGAAGAAGGTCAACAAGGGTAATCACTTTTCCCTTTTATCCCCCCATTTTTGCACACTACTTTTACCTATCTTGCAACTGTTTTTTGGTTTTGCATATAATACATAAAAGTTCTGTTTTTAAGGCCTCTAAATAGTTGGTTAAGGTTGCTTCAAGCTTTGGGGTTGTTTGACCCCTCTTAAGCCTTGTAAGGCTCCATTTTGTGCCATTTTGTGTGAGCTCCGGGACCATAGTGTTTGGGCCTCCTCACCACTAAAATCTTGACAGATTTCAGAGGTGAGGATGGTGCCTTGAGGTCCCAAGAAGGAGAGGGCCACCCCCTCTCCTTGTTGTCCTTAAAAAGGATCATTTTTTGCCTCTTGAGGGAGCACCTAACTTAGGCTCGTGTTGACCATGCCTCGGCTATTTTTTATGCTTATTATGCCATGATATAGCATTGTTTTAAGTTGGTTTTGGTACACCATGCTTCCTTAGCATACATGCCTTGTAATGCCATTTTGTTGCCTTAACATGCATCTAGGTTTTAACCCTTGTTCAAGCATGCTTTTGGCCTATCTTTGTGAAGCTTTCATGTTTATTTTGCCATGTTTAAGGTCTGTCCTTGGCTGATTTGGTCGACCATAGCTTGCATTGCATGCCCCCTTTGCATTTTGGGCTTGTTGGCCTTAAGTATATAAGTGTGTAGCATGCCTTGTTTGTATCATTTCAATGGTTTGGAACTACTTAACATGTTATCTCAGTCCTTATGACATGCTTATATGCTTGCATTTAATCCTCCTTCAATGTGTTTAAAGGTTGTTACCTTGTGCCCCTTGTTTAGGCCTCGGAGTATGCTTGCACTTTTAGACCACTTAGATGCCATCTAAGCGCACCCTTGGCTTTGCTTAAGTCTGCATTTGATTTGTTTTAAGTCCGCTTAGCCTTGTGAGGTTTGGTGGACTTGACCTTGGTTTAAGCCTCCTTGGCTTGTCTTAACCACTTGGGCCATTGTGGCATGTTTTTCTTGTCTTGTTTAAATTGATTTGGCATCATCTTGTAACATAATTTTAGAGCTTAATGCATGCTATATGTCCATGTTTGCATCCTCTTGAGTGTGCTTGAGAATTGCTCTTTAATGCTTGAAGTGTTGGAGATTGATTTAGTGATGGGTGTTGGGTCTTTGTTTGTTGGTTTGCATTGCATTTGAAATCAACATGCATAACTTGGTCTCTTGGGTCATCACGCATTGAAATGCGTGATTGATGGTCCGAGAACCAAGGAACATGTCCCTTTGAGTCATAAACATGATAAGGGATATGGTTGGTGCATACATTGCTTGAATTGCATTGCCATGCAAAGCTCTGTCCTCTGCTGCTGTCAAACAGATTCTGCAGGAACTTTTTTTGCCGATCGACTGCACAGAGTGCCGACCGGCAATCCATCGGTGGCCGATGGATTCATTTTTGGCCGATCGACACCAAATCACAGCCGATGATGATTCCCTCCAGCCGGTGGCATTCCCCAACATCCAGTGAGCACATACTGAGACTTTGGCAGTTTTCAGAGGAGTATAGTAGGGAAAACAGAGGCAGCTTGTGCATGACAGTGGACTTCCGAGCAAGACCGAGCATGCATTACATTGGGCTCTTTTCCTGAGGCCGTTCATCGCTTTCTTAGATTTGTTGATTTGCTTAACTAATTTAGTTGGTCTGTAATAATTAATTAGCTAGGATAGTTAGTTTGTTATTCGGATTATAATATTTATTTGGACCCTCCGAGCGAGGGCAATTGTGTAATAAGTGTGGGTGCGTGTGTGCATGTCTTCCAACCCCCGCTTCTTTCTCCCTTTTACTTACCTGCCTTGACGGTTAGTATTAGGACAAGTTTACCTTAGCATACCTTATGCTATGCATGCGTGCATCATTCATCAATATTGCATGCACCGGGCTCGGCACATCATGCTAACTGACTTGAATACATGCTACTTGCCGCACTTTACATGCCATTTTAGGATTAGCCGAGCCTATCCTAATTGCATTCTGTATGCGTTGCATTAGGCATTTAAGCATGGACTTGGATCATGCATTGATTGCTAACAAGTTCTTTGTGTTGGCACGGAGTACGATGTAAGTATTTATACTTTAGCATCTTGCATGAGTGTGAATGTTAACATGACAGTATGCTTGCCATGCGGCTATATGTATACATGATATTACTGCTTGAATGTCTGTGGGTGAAGGTTGGATTGTTTGAATTGGAATAACTCATTGAAATCTGTGGGTTTTTTTTAGCCTACTTACGTGTAGCAAATTTCAAATTGTTTTTCAAACAAACGGATATGCAATGCTTCGCTCCAATTCAGGCGATTTGGTCTATACTTGTTTGCTGTGCGCATAACATAGTAATTCTAGGCTAATAACCGGAATAAGAACACATAACGTTTTAAAAACGGATATCACGGTTAGTAGAGGCCGATCTTCGGATCGGGCGAGAAGGGGTGCTCATAGCTGACCTTCCGCAATCGTACCCTAGCTCCCGAGCCGAGGCAACTTTGGTGATGACAGACACGTGGCCTTTGGCACCGAGTCAGGGTTTCTTAAATTCTCCCTTAAAAAATATTTAGGTGGCGACTCTGTATCTAGCAAAGCTGTCCATGTTTGGCACTTCTTTCAAAATCTGTTTTTCTCAAAACAATTTGCCGGATTTGGACTCTTTGGTTCAGATTTAGAACCGTGACAATTTGAGAGTCCGAACTGTAGTGAACCCAAAAACGAACAGAACGGGACTCATCCTCCCGGGGCGTTCGGGGATGTCTACAGCTTCCTAGCTTGTTTAGCCTTGGCCCTTCCTGTCATTTCCTTTCCCTTTCTTACCCAATCCTCTTTGGTAGGTGTAACCTAGACCAATGGTATAAGGGTTGTGTGGCACTTCGACCAATACAGCGACGCCCTTCCGGCCGCTCCTTTCCAATCCCATTCTGGGTACATGTTACAGCTTATTCATGAGGTAAATGGATTGCGCATTGACATATAGCCCCTCATCAATAGCCATCATATCTTGCACTACCTGGGCCTCGGCCAAGGTGAACCCAGACAAAAAGACATCCTCCTCGCCGTGCACAATTTCCAAGACCGGTGTAGTAACCTCCAGCGGCGGATGTATGGAAGAGTTCCCAAAGACAATAGCTACCCCCTTCCCATAGGGGTACTTCAGCATCTGATGTAAAGTGGAAGACACAGCTCTTACTTGGTACAGCCACGGCCGTCCAAGGAGTAAATTGAAGGTGGCTGGAACATCCAAGACGTGAAATCCAATGTCCTGCTGCGCCGGGCCAACTTGAGTTCTGATCCGTACTATCCCCATCACTTCCCGACTTGTATTGTCATAAGCCCGAATAACCTGGGTTGTTAGTACGAAATCTGCCGGCTTCAAACCGATAGCATAGGCCGTACGTGACGGACACACATTAATTGCAGATCCCATATCAACCAAGACAACTGGTATCCACTTCTCTTTACACTCCACAGAGATGTATAACGGCTTGTTGTGCTCAGAGCCCTTAGGCGGCAATTCTTTATTTGTGAACGTCAAAGTCGGTGAAGCGCCACCCGGGAAAACCAGTCCCACTAACTGCTCGGGGGTTGTGTCAATAGAGAGCTTAGCCTTATCCATTGCTGATAGGACGGCTTGTCTATGAACCCGTGAAGCCATGAGCAAACCCCAGATGGAGATATCCGCCTGACTTTTCTTCAGCTGCTTCAATACTGCTTCCTCTTCTGACAGTTTCTCTTTCTATTTCTCAGCTTCCTTGTCTTTCCCTGACGCCTTTGGTTGGTCCAAGTGCGGGGTCTTAAAGTATTGCCCACTCCGAGTCATGTGATCAACTTCCTCGGCATACCATGTATCATCCGACAGATTCTGTCCCCAGTCTTCATCTGTGTGGGCAAGACGCAAATCATCGTCTTCCCACCACATTCCTTCGGCAACTGACAAACAATTGTCCGGTTCTGTCATAATTATTCCTGTGTTGACAACACAATCAATCCCAGCGGGGCCTTGGGCTTTTCTAGCCTTCTGATCAATCTCAGTTCTTTTCTGGTCGAACCACTTTAGCGCAGCCTCCAATTCTGTATCAGCTATACACAAGCTACCCAATTCTTGAGCAGAATTCTTAGTACCGGTGCTCTCCGGCAACTTCCCCTTGTTCTCGACCGTTCCGACCGTTGTAGACGTTCCTATTCCTAATTGTTCCTGCTTCGGTTGAGACCCCTCATCAACATCTAGCTCATCACTAAGCCAGCCTGTATTATCCGTTGATCCATTCATATCAAACCAGCCGATCTGTACATCTCCCAGATCCTGTTCATCAAAGAACTATAAATTACTGATGTCCTTCTTAAGCTCAGCTAAATCATCTAGCCCCCAGCTTGGCCCGTCCTCCCGGACTACATTAACCACAAGAGGTGCTATCACTTTGTTGTCAATGAGATCCTGAATCTCATGATGGAGTCTAAAGCATAGGTCGGTGTCATGACCATGATGCTGGTGGAAGGCGCAATACTTGGCCGGGTTGTGTATAGGTGGGAGGGGATTAGGCAACGGGCGTGGTTCCAGAGGCTTCAAATGACCTTTTCTGATCAAGACCCCTAAGGCTTTGGATAGAGACATGTAGAGTGGGGTGAAAACCCTTTGGCCCCGGGGTGGCTGCTTTGCGGGTTATGGGGTTGTTCCGGATGTGCCGGTAAAAGGGGTGGCTGTTTTCAGCATGGTGGTGACCATACCAACGTCAGAAGTCCTCGCAGTTGCGTTGCTACTCATAGCCGCATTTGAACCGCGTGTAAAAGCCCTCTGGGGCTGCTCCTTTTCATGGTCAATCAGACCCTGTTTCATCGCATCCTCTATCTGTACCCCTATCTCATGAAGGTCAACAAATGTAGGTAGGGGTAGGACAATCATCTTTTGCATCAGCTTCGGTTGCAGATTACGAATGACTATTCTTATTTGGTCCTCCTCAGCTGGCCTGGTAGTCATCATGCTGGCCTTGGCCCTCCACCTAGTGACAAAATCAGAAAAGCCCAACTTTGGCTCATGTCGAGTGGCCTCGAGATCACGAATTGTGACCTCGATTTGGGTGTTATAAGAATATTGGGCGACAAAAGCCTCGGCCATCTCTTCCCAGCTCCTTTTCACAGAATCCTCTAGTTTACCATTCCAGAAAGTCGCAATACCCGACAGGGTTTGACCAAAGAGGGATAGCTTTTGCAATCTAGTCAGGCCCATCGGCCGTAGAATATCTGAAAATAACCGCAGGTGGACCATAGGATCGCCCGTGCCAACGAAGCGGTCTATGTGTGGCACTTTAAATCTATCCGACAATGTCACCGCCGAATCTATGTAGCCGTTCTCTATATCTGCGATCGAATTGACTCCCTGAGCTCGTTTGAACAACTTCTCAAGCTTGTTTACTTTCAAAACAGTAGGATTGACCTCAAACTCGAACGGTGTGTCCGTTGGGTAGGCCAGTGCTTTAGAAGTCTAAGGTGGGACTGGCCCTGCTGGAGTGTCCATATTCTCCTGGGCATTAGCTGTATCCCCGGGTATTGGAACCATAGGCGGGGGTGGGTGCGAAGCAGAAGCTACTGCTTGTTGTGGTTGCTGCTGCTGTTGAAGATTGGCAATTAACTCAACTTGCTGGTCTGTGACCTCTGTTTGGCGAGTGGTAACTTCTGCTTGGCGAGCAAAGTCCCGTTGCATGGCCTCGATGGTCAGTTGAAGTTGACGCATCATAACCTCCATACTGTCTGAGGGGTGCTGATCTGATAGAACTTGTATATACTCTCTTTCTGAGGTGGAAGCAGAAAACTGGGCCCGACTACGCACAGGTGAAGTAAATAATGACTGCTGAATTGGCGACTGTTGAACCGGTGATCTATGCCTAACTGTCCTCCGTCTCGTAACCGAGGGTAGCAAACCAAACATTTGTTGTCCTCCAATAAGATCCTCACATTGGTAAATCCTCCTGACCCTGGTCTAGAGTGCTCGGGGGGAAACTGCCTCGTCAGAAGCAATTGTGAAATACTACCTTGCAAAAAGAAAATAAAGCAAAAAGGAAACAGCAATCAGCAAATGCACAGCACCTCGGCTTAGACAAAGACAACGCACAGTTGAAATCATAAGCTGGATAATCTATACTAAAACACTGATTTCTGCCCCCCAAACTTCCGCCTGAAAACTGATACCCTCAAACTAATACCCAGACTTGCAACTAATACATACATTCCTGTAGAGACACACCCTAACAGCATATATCAAGCAAGTGAGAGCCAAAACAACCCTATGGTGGGGTAGGGTTTCCCTGTCCTAGCTTCGTAGTGAACTAGGGGTTCACTATGCACACATGCGGTTTCATACAATCCTGTATTCGGGTGAGCAACCTGTCCTAGTTTGGAATAGTCTCTATGACTTCCGATATGCATCTAGGTCAATTGGTCAAAAGGGGTGCCTCGGCAAGACCACCTAATATACCTCTCGCTCCTAACACCGAGAAGTGAAAGGAGGATCAAACGGTACAGCGGTGATCCAGATCCAAGGTTTGTGTTCCCATCGTGGCAGAGCCCGCAACCGGTCAGCCTTATGGCACCCTTTTCCAAGCAAGCCTCTTGCAAACCGTTCAAGAATAGTAGATGGCAAACGCTGTGACTTAGGCGCACCTATGCAAATGCAATGTAAAGAAACAAATAAATGTAGATAAAATAACATATCATGAGTTCGAGTCAAGTTCTCTAAATCCCAAGCAAAGTCGCCAAAAGCTATAGACTCGACTTTCTTCGTGCCCCTTTCGAAGAGCTCGAATTGGTCCTACAGTTCAGACTCCTGTCACGGTTCTGAATCCAATATCACAAAGTGCAATGTGAAACTGATAAACACCAAAGAATCCAATCCGGAAAATTATTTTGGAAAATAGATTTTAAATCAAATAATGCCAAAATTGGACTGCTTTGCCAGATTACAGAGTCACCACCTAAATATTTTATTTTGAGAAAATTTAGGAAACCCTAACTCGTGTCAAAGGCCACGTGTCCATCATCACCAAAGTTGCCTTGGCTCGGGAACTTGGATATGAGAGGGGAAGGTCCTGAAATGAGCACCCCCGCTCGCCCGATCAAAGATTGGCCTCTACTAAGCATGATATGTTGTTTCATAAACACGTGTTCTTATTCCGATTTTTATCTAACTTTACTATGTGACGCACCCACAAGTATAGACTAAAATCACAAGAATTGGAACAAAACAACTCATGTTTGTTTTCGAAAATGGTTTGAATTTGCCACCCGCAAGTGGGCGTAGAAACACGGATTTGCCACCCTCAAGTGGGCTTAAAACATGATGATTTGCCACTTTCCAAAGTGGGCTTAAAACGCACAATCATCGAATTGTTCCAATTCAAGCAATAAAGCCTTCATCCATAGGCATTCATGCAGTTAATCATTTAAGCAAATAGCCTCACGACAAGCATGCGAAATCCGCGTAAAACTTACAGTGTACTCCAAGCCAAAACAAAAGCTAGTTAGAAACGATGCATGATCCTAACTATGTTAGCTGCCTAATGCAACACATGCAATAATGCAATTAGTAGGCTCGGCTACCTAATATGTCATATGATACAATTTGATAACATGCTTTGAAACACATATTCAAATAAGTATTGAATTGACAATGCAGTTTGAATGATGCGCCGAGCCTTGGTGCATGCAATACAAATGAATGATGCAAACATGCAAGCATAAGGTATGCTAATTGAAACATGATCCCTAATATAACCATCAAAAATGGGTAAATAAAAGGGAGAAAGACGTGGGGTTGGAAGACATGTACACACACACGTACGCTTATTACAACATTGTGCCCTCGCGAAGGAGGGTCCGAATAAATAAGCTAAACTAGACTAAGCTAAGCTAATTATTACAAAACGAAACTAATTAACTGTTCCAGCTAATTAATTATTACAACACAATTGAATAAATAGCTACGCTAAGCTAATTTAAAATATTACAAAACAGATTAAACTAATTAATTACAACACATGTATTAATTAGCTACAACTAGCTAATAAAGCAATTAAGCGGCCTCGCAGGCAAGGGAGACGTGCATGCTCGGTTAGCTTCCTCCCGAAAATCCATCGCCTTGCCACCGGTTGCCTCTGTGTTCACTCGCCTTGATCTCTGAACACTGTACAAATTTCTAGACTGCTTCTGCTCCAAAACAGGAACACTTTTGCGCAAGAATGGACTAGTGGCCGATCGGCCACAGAAGGTGGCTGCCGGCCACTTTAACTGGCTGGTCGGCTAGTCTAGGTGGCCGGTCGGCCACTGCTTCTTCCAGACTTCTGTTTTTTGCTGCAACAGAGAGCAACAGAGGCAAAGCAATGTATTTTTCAAGGAATGTGTGTACTGCCACCTCCTCATCATTTCCCATGCTCAAAGGAGTATGGCACTTGGCTCTCAAGACACCAATCAAGCATTTCAATGCATGATGGCCAAAGAACCAAACTCGTACAAGCTTAATGAATGCACAAATAAGACTCAAAGGACCACCACCCTATCATGCATGATCAAGGGTGACGGAGACCAAGAACGTGACACGTTTCATCACTTTAAGTATGAAACATCCCACATTTCTTGTGTTTGGATTAACGTCTGATCCAAACACATGCAATGCAACACAAATATGTTTATCTTGCTCGAGTTTTACTTAATTCATTTTGTTTGCATATTTTTAGTTACCGATTAATCCTTTAGCCGATTAAGTCCAATGTGAGAGTCCTCTAATTGGAAAGATGGCCTAAGCCACAAGTGCCTTGACCATGAAAGCAGCCTCATGCTGTTGGTTAGGAGGAACCCTCAAGAGAGGGTTAAAACCATTAGGCATGAGAGCCTCAAGTTCACACTCAAGCCAACAAGGGGCTCAAGACCACTTTCAAAGCAAATTAAAAAGTGAAAAACAGAGGGAGGTTACAGACTTTTCAATGCTAAAATGGCATGAAAAATGGCACTAAATGATGCAAGCAACACATGCACAACATGTTCAAAAGCCAAAAGCAACACAACTAGTGAAAAACACTACACTAGAGGCATGCAATACCAACCTCAAATGACCAAACTAGCTTAAAACAAAGCTAAGATAAGCGAAAACAGTGGCTAAAACATGCCGAGATTAAAGCATAAAAGGCAAGAAAAGCATGCTCATGTGTTAGGCTACAAACAAGACTCAAAACACAACTATCAAAAGCAAGGAAAAGAGTGAAGTAAGTGAGAGTGTGATAGAGCTATACACACTAAAATCACATGTTAAATGATGCTACAACATGCAATCATCTCAAGCAAAGCATGTTAGATGCCTAAAACAATGAGCTAGTGAAGGCATTTGCACTATAGCCATGCAAGACAAGACTTATATGATCAAAGCGGCCCAAAACAGACCTAAAGTAGGCCAAATCAGTAGCTAAAACATGCTAAGATCAAGTCACAAAAAGGTAGAAAAACATGCTCACATGTTAGGCTATCTACACTTGCAAACAAGACACAAGGAGGGTGTAGACACCCCATTTTTGACCGTCCTCAAGACTTGGATGTTCTTGCAGGAACAACTGGCGACAAGTGTGATTCCTCGTTAAGCACTCGAAATCCGCAGCAAAATACCATGTTTTGGTCCTTCCAGCTTGTTGTTTGTGGTGCACTGTCAGCCATGATTGGGCTCTGCCGACCATGTATCTTGTCCTGCCGGCCATTGTGAGGCATGCTGGCCATCAATGAGCCACTACCGGCCACCAGTGATGGCCGGCCGACCACCATTGCATCAGTAGATATTTTTGTAGATATTTTGAAGTTGTTTGCACAGATGAGCCCATCTCCATGCATGTGGATGGCTGGATTTGTTTGAAGATTTCTTATATCTTCTATATATAGAGCTCATCTATATGCATGCAAGGGTTACAAAAATTTTAGCTGAGCTATATCTCGCTCTCTCTCTATATTTTGTGCTTGAAAGTGAGCTTTCTCTACACATTTGCACTACTACCCTTAGCCGAACACCTTCACCTTGAGGCTGAGGTTCTTGGAGGTCTTGTTTGAGCTTCTTGGAGTGGTTTTAGCCCAGAAGTTTTGGTGTTTTGTTGCTGTGCTTCAAGGGTAAGGGTTTACCTCTTCCAAGCTTTGTTTTAGTTCATTGCTTAGATACCTTTGTATGCTACTTTAAAGCTAGTTTTAGTTTCCAAAAATTTTTGTTTTTAAGGTCTTAAAATGTTGGTTTAAGCCTTGTGTGGTTATGGGGTGGTTTCCTCCCTTGGCTCTTTGGCTTGAAAAGCCTTTAAAGCCACATTTCAAAGCTCTTGAAACACCCCTTGTTTGGCCTTTCTACCATTGCAACTCATAGGTTTTTTAGTGGTAGAAACTTGGTTTTGAGGTCCAAAATAGAAGGGTGTGGCCTCCCCTCCTTGTATCTTGGTTGCATGTGTAGTTGGCCTAAGATGTGAGCATGTTTTTCTACCCTTTTGGGACTCCATCTCAGCATGTTTTTGCTAATGTTTTAGCTCTATTTTGGTTGGTCTTGGTCATATGAGTCATGCTTTGTATGGTTGTAGTATAAATAGCCTTTACTAGCTTTGTGTTTTGAGGCCCCTAGCATGCTTTGCTTGGGTTGTTTCCATGTTTTAGCATCATTTAGCATGTGATTTCAGTGCTTATAACTCTGTCACACTCTTACATATTTCACTCTTTCATCACTTTTGAGAGTTATGC